AACAAAATTTAACACAACCTATTGTCACTTAAGTTATGTTAATGAAACAAATGAGATATTACTCATCACATAGAAATAAAAATTATTTTATTATAAAACAAACTTTCCTACTCATACCACTACTTCATATCAAAAGAAACTAGTAAAGAAAATTACTCACGAAGCATGAATAAAATAGAACAGAAAACTTCATTAAATAAAAAAAAATCCACAAGAAAGTATTTACAACAATTATAAGATAATGAAGAACACAATAGTTAGCATTTTCCCTCTAAAAGAAATATGAAAATCTTTCCAACAAAGTTTTCCACTGATTCATTCAATACTCATAAAATTCCTATAGCATATATCTCAAAATCTTTCACCAATCTCTCTAGAAACAGTAGAAATCTACATCTCTTACTCACACTCACACGCCTCTTAGAAGAGACATGCCCAAACTCTCTCCAAAACTCTCTAAAAAATCCTTCTAATCATCCGCCATGAGAGACGCCAACCCCCCTTTTCTTAAAGAAAAACCAACCACCTCCTTTTTTTTTTCAAAAGACACACCTCTTCACATTCTAAATGGCTAGATTCATTGTATAATTCCTTGAGGCATGCATAAACGCCCGTAATCTTCCAAAGTTACGGTGACACATCGGCCAGATTAGAAGCCAACTCCCTCTTGTCGCTTACCCTACATAAAAAAAAATGAGAATCATATATTTCAAGCAATAGAAATAACCTTACTGGTCACCTTGTCTTGAACAATAACACTATCAACAACCACATAAACAAGGTATCTCGAGGCTACGCTATGTAAGGGCCGGTCCTCGTCTCCTACCAGATTTCTTGATTATGGGAGGCACTTCCATTTTTGACTCTTGGCGAGTCACTTTTCATTCACCGTCTTTGCTCGGACCTCCTCTACAATGTCCGAGTCCAATCATTGCTCCTTCATCATTTTACCCAAAAACACATGGGAAACTATAACCTTAGCGGTATATTAAGGAACCGAGAGTCAACGACTAGTCAGCATCTCCAGACCTACAATCATGCTCTCCGAAAGAGACCTCGGCTTGGACTCCTTGTACTCTAATAGCTCGGTCTAGATTCCTTAAGCCTAGAATAAGAACCGACTAGGAACTTCTTCTTCAAATCCTTTATCTTATTCTCCACTTATACTAAGTGAAGTTCCTTGCCCAATAAGAATATAACATATCCCTCCTTATCGACCTTAAATGAGAACGAGTATCTAAGGAGTTTGATCGACCACGCAAGATTCTCTTATCTACAAAAAAGAATGAAAATCATGATTGTGGCTATGGAGTTCAACATCACTTTTGTCGGAATAACATCATAGGTGTTGAAAATGCTCCATAGCTTGTGACGCCGGAGTAATCGGAGGCCATATTTAAATTGGACTTGATGAAAGACCAGGTCTTTTCCCAGAGGATCCGTTGCTCGTACTGATCCAAATAGCTTTTGAAGATCTATGCTCTCATCAAGAACATACCTTCGCTGCAGCTCCCTCACTTTGTTCTCGGTCAGAGTTGAAGTGTCAGTACCCTTCACAGAGACAAACAAGACAGGTGAGTGTTTGGGGGCCATCTTGAGAAATAAGAGCAGAACCAGCTGAAGGATGAGAGGAGAAGAGAAAAAAAGAACTAAAAGCATGTAAAGTGAAAAGAAGAGGCCCTTTCTCCAATTTATAAGGCAGGCACGACAAATGAAGCATAATGATGAGTAACATACCAAATATCTTTTCAAATTTTATTAAAATATCATTATTACAGGCCTTGAATGAAATGTTTTATAAAGGGGGTCCTCCAAAACCTTGGAGGGGACACACCCCCTTAACTTTTGAAGAATCATCTCTCTATCAAAGCTAATCTGATCCACTCGATTAACTTCCCGGTTGAACTTCACCAAATCAGACATCTCACATACTACCTCTAGCTTGTGCAACACGTCGTTTAGCCCTCCTCAGAGAGCAACGAGTTCCATCCATAGAACCACAACTTCATTATCTAGGTGAGTAGGTAGCTCCTGCACAGGATCCACAACCAAACCTCTGGTGAGTCCCTCAAAAAAGTCGAACAGCTTCGCTAACGGTGTGGACTTGCCTGCACGTTGCTCTATGATCTCGGGGGATTGCGCTCACCCCAACGGTCCCCCAGCTAAAGATCTATCACAGATGATTGGTCGGGCATCTGATTAATTACCAAGGCCCACAGCTGCTGAAGCCCCACATCTCCAACCCGCATAACGTCCACCACGATAAGGGCAGACTCAACAAAATAATTTAACAACATGCCATCTTGGAATTTCATCTGATTAATTACCAAGGCCCACAGCTGCTGAAGGCCCACAGCTCCAACCCGCATAACATCCAGCACGATAAGGGCAGACTCCGCAAAATAATTTAACAACATGCCATCTTGGAATTTCTCTGGCTTGACCAATTCATCCATAAATCTCTCAATGGATGAGACAGTCATAAAGGCCACCTTTTCCTCTGACACCCCACTTTCTTGTGGCAATTACTGGGGGAGGATCGTGCCAGCTGCACCCCCATTTCCTCACCACTTGCCTCAGTTAAAAGGACCTGCTGACCCTCAACATGCATGCCCAAATCATACTCCAAGGCCCCTCATTGAAGCCTCTTTAGCGACTAACCTTCCGCATTGTTAGACGAGTCGACTACGTCAACCAGGTCAGACACGGGCCTCACTCGTTTTTCATTTGTCAGCACTTTCTTCTTGTTTATAGAAGATGAAATTTGAAACCCCGCCTTCGCAAGCCTCTTAGGATCCACAACGATTTTATTTGATTTATCCGTCATAACAGACCTCAAATGTAAAAAGAGAAATCGATGACAAATGCCACAAAGCTCGGTTCATGTTTATTTAAAGAGTATATAGGGCACGAAATCCAAAGGAAAGTCATGTGTTCAATTGATTCACAAATTTTTTGTTAACAAGTATTTAATGATTTTTCTGCACTTAATATTTTTATCACTATTAAGGAGTAGGAAAAATCAGAGAACTAATTTGTACACACAAAAAATACCAGCATGTATCTCAAAGAGAATGACGACCAAGATAAAAGAGCCACATCTCGAGGTAAGCAATCAATCGACGATTCAAGGCCGAGCATGAAGCCGCGTCTCTAAACCTAAGATAGGTTCAAGCTCTGAAGATGGTTCCTTGCTCTGTAGCAGCAAGATCCGCCGAAATTGAGGCTTAAATCATCCCGACAGCGAGTCTCGTTGAAAACCCTATATAGGCTGCGCCAAGATTGTCTAAGATCTTGCAAGGAGATCCGACCGCTGTGGTGAAACAATCAGATAAACGAGACACGAGCTCTATAAAACTCTAGCAGAACAAAAAATGAGTCACTGCTTAGTAAACGAAAAAGTCGACTGATCACGTTGGACTAACCAACCCAGTGTCCGAACCGAACAACCACCTCACAACCGACTGTTATGGTCGACCGTGCCAAAAGACACCAAACAAAACACCTTGAATGACGAACACGTACTTCAGAGAGCACATATGCCACTCGGTCAGTTGCCTCAGTCGGCCGACTTCAAGCCACCTGACCGGCCAAATACTGCCAATGTTAAAATTCAAATTGTAATGCAAATATGACATAAAATATATACAATCAATTAGAGCCTTAATAAAATTAAGAACGATTTCCATAACCATTCCCTACTTTCTATAATTGTACAAAACACATCTCTATAAGTACGGGTAAAAAATACGAATAAAGAAACTTCTTATTGGATTCTCTCAACAAAAATTCCAGACTTATTCTACTCCCTCTTCATTCTCTTCTTCAATTGGCTCTAACTCCTAGGACGTGATTCACAAAGGACAAATTAGGATCCAACAAATATAAATACATTTATATTTATATTGCATAACAATTTTTTGTTAAATAAGCATTGAACTTAAATAAAATCAAATCATAAATGTTCTTATTATAATACTTCTTTGGTTTAAAATCTGATTTATTTGAACCTCATAATTAAAAATAAAAAATTAATAACACAATAAATTTTTAAATATTCGTTTAAATCGCTAACCTTTCTTTCAGCTCAAATATCTCTGCACGCCCGAGTTCTGATTCCAGCAAGGCTCGGCCCAACGCTACACTCGAGATATTCTTCTTCCTCCAACTTCCTCTTCCTTTGCACGACACCCTTGCCGACTCCTCTTAGCTTGATAGAGACGTTGTCGCCAGACAACAACGTCGTCCCTCTTCTCCTCCTTTGTTGGTTCGTTTGCCAAGATTGAGTGCATAGATACTCCCGCACTCACCGCTTGCTTTGCACAACAGTGACGTTGCCACTTTCCCCCTCGACACCGACATCGAGACCTCCCTCCTCTCCTCTATTCGATAATGTTTTCTCCAGCTCAAGACATGACGGCTCTTCTCTCATCTCTGCAAATAGGTAAAACTCGCCATATTACGTGATTTATAAAGCGAATATGCCTTCCCAGACTTCTGTCCCTTCGATTCCCCTTTTTCAAATATTTATTTTCTTTCTCTTCCTTGAATACTAAGTTCTCATTTTCTCACCCATCATTTTGGTTTTCCGATTTTTCCTTCCCGATAAGGCAAAAAATTTGCGTACGTCAAGGGGTACGCATCTCTGCGTACATAATAGTGTACACGAGAGTTACATGAGAGTTACATGGGAGTTACAAACGTGTACACGAGAGTTACATAGGAGGTACAACATGTTATAACCCCCTTGTAACTCTCATGTAACTCCCATGTACACTATTATGTAAGCAGAGATGCGTAGCCCTTGACGTACTCAAATTTTTTCCCCCATAAGAGGACATTACACATACTATATTATTCTCAATTCTAATATTTCCATAATAAAAAAATGAGTTTTATTCTTATTTGATTTTTAATAAATTTTATGGGTGAGAAGCTGCACTGAAATGACCAGTTTTTAAATATTTTTTAATTTAAAATAATTTATGTTGCGATCGTGATCTAGTGCGGCACTGCGCAGTAAGATAAGAGGCCGAAAACGAACAGGGGAAGGCGGGGAAGAGCCAGAGGAGCAAGCAAGAGAGCTCTCTCAATGGGTAGTCTTCCACTCACTGATTTGAACTGCATTCCTCATCTCAAACCCTGCCTTTGTTCTTGCATTTCCTCCTCCACACACGTAAGAAGCCATCGAGCACCGCGCCATCGATTCCTCCTCAAGGCGTGCTCCTCTTCGGACTCCGATTTTTCCTCCTCTGAGACCCGCAGAAAGTTCATGACCTATTCTGCCGCCATTACCCTCTCCCTCTCCCCAATCCCCTGCATCCAACAACCGGCGAAGTCTGAAGAGCCTGCGCTTTCCGAGTGGGAGCGGGTCTACCTCCCCATCGACCCCGGAGTAGTCCTCCTCGACGTTGCCTTTGTACCGGATGACCTAAACCACGGTCTCTTTCATTTTTCAGCTTACCCTTATTGAATTCTTTATTCTCATTGTTTGTAGTGAAATTTGTGGTTTAATGCGCCGCATGGATTGAGAGGGAACTGTACATTTCTACTATAGTTACTTCTCATGTTAGTATTTGGCTTGATTGGTTATTTTTTCCAGCCGGAAAAGGACTTTGATACCTTCAGAATTTGGGTAGAGTAGACTATTAACTGAAACAAAATATTTGTATACCAACCCGGTATTGTCCCTGGGAAGTCTCTTCGGTTAATGGTGACAATCAAAGTTTAGTTATCTTTTGGACTTATTTAGTTGCTGACGAAGCTCCTCTTGCTTGTGATGATATTGGATTGGCATGGAATGAATATTTGAGGGTTTGTGGGTTAGCTAAACTGAAGGTTAATGAAACTTTTGGGAGAGGCTGAAAGTTAACACAAGAGGGATTGTTTTTCATGAGTGTTTGTGGAGGGGTAGGCTAGGGGTGGGCTAAGGTATGCTTAGGGGCTAAATGACGACGGATTTAAGTAGGATTTAACTTTTAAATCTTGTCTAACAGAGAAATGACATTTTTAAATCCAAGGTTTAATAAATCTAGTTCCTTCTTAATTTCTTCTCAGTTTGTTTTAAATCCTTGATTTACTAAATCTTGTTGTTGGCAATATTTAGTAAATTCGGATTTATAGAATCTACTAAAGCCTTTAAAGCCATTACCATACTGTCCCTTGAGGTCTTGATTGAGAGCTCGAAAGTTGGATTAGGGTTTTGGATGTAATGGTAGAGAGGTTGGTTATTGGAAGTAAGAGGGAAGCATTAAGGTTTATTGTAGAGGCAAAATCAGAGAGGTTGATAATTAGGGTTTTGGAATTGATGCCCAAAATTAAGATCTTGTGGAGATTGTAGGATTTGCTTTGGATGGTGAGGAAGGCTAAGAAAGATAAACATAAATCATATATTCTTCACTTGAGAAATTAAAACATATGCCAAACCACACCATGAATTGACCAACAAGCTATCTACCAAAGGAGATACTATAAATGCAATCAAAAGCGAGCTAAGTTAAAATCCATTGGTCCAATCAAATATATAAATACTAAAAAATATTTAAACCATTCATCCATTCAAGAAGATAAGGATTTACATTTCAATTTTTAGAAATAATAACTTTAAATTAAAGGAGTAGTTGATGGTCTTGTATGACCTGGTATGGAGGCAACGATTTGAATTATGTAGGAAGTTTGAAACAAGCCTTGTTTTGTGGAAGGCCTTGAATTGTAGATTTTGAACTGAAATTGAGCTTTTGAATGTGGAGGTGGCCTTGACTATTGAAGAGAGTTTACTCACTGAATTCAAGTACGGGAGGTTTTGACCATGCATTATCTAAGCTATTTTTGAAGTTGTTTTAGCTTATCTTGATCATTGCACTCAAAACCTTGCTTGATGGATTTTGTGACTTATCTTGATGATTTTGTGATGCTATTGTCATGTGATGGAGGTGGCCATCCTTTCAAATAAAAAATAAGCTTGATTATATTTATGTTAGAAGTTGGAACCTTATCATGCATCTACTATACCCCACTTCAAGAACTCTACATTATATCATTAAAATTATTGTAATTTATATGAGGGTTGAATGAGGCCTAACCTATCCTAGGTGATTCTAGGCTCCCATAAGGGGGTTAGTTTGAAAATATTTACTCTTAAACTTTAAGGATTCATAATACTAATCAAAGGTTTAAAATTATTTTAAATTTTCAATTAGTAATTATACATGGAGATTTTTTATCATTACCATGGATCATAAATTCAATGTAAATAAACCTCCAATATGATTATAAATAGAAATATTTGGGTCCATGGTCATTCTTTCCTCCTACCAATAGCTCTATATAAACCCCAGATCAATTAGTCAACTGCTTGTGTTTTAACTTTTTTTTGAAAAAAAAAAACTAGGTTAATATAGTGGCCAATTGATGCAAAGGTTGACAAACTTAACATTTGCATCTTTCATCATTTTTATTAAATTTTTGCTCATACTTATTTTCATCTCCTCTCAATACTACTTGCACCCTTCACCTTTATCTTTTGTATCATAAGTAAAATCTATAGCTAGCCTTTTGTTATCATATACCATTCTTAATTTTGTCATTTGTGGGCATGTAATCTTCAAAGCATAGACCCCATTATTTTATATTATAGACTTTATAATGGTCTCTCTTTATTTATTATCAATACTAAATCTTAACTTATTTTCAACTTTAGAGCTAAATATACATTTTAAAATTATTTTTTGCTTAAATATGTTAATAATTTTGAGAAAAGAAGTAACATAACGAGTGATGCTTAGCCCGAACAATTTCGTACAACTTCTACCTTTTCTCATCTTATTTAAAAAAGCTCATGATTTCATATGTAATTGGATAAATTCAAGACTTTCTTAACTATGTTTTTCATGTGATTAATCTACCCAATATCTTCTAACATTGGATCGATGTCATGGGCTGCACATGATGTCTAATACATGTATAAGCATTTGACCTATAAAAAATTGATATATATATTTTAGCATATGTTCGTACTGTAATGAGGATTTAAATATATAAGTAAAATAATATGAATTACTACTTTTCATGAACTTAACTAAAGTGGTTATCCATAAGTACTCGCACTACATTTCTTTCTCTTATCTTCTCTACTTGTTCAGTAAGGAGCTCAAAAAGTTTTAATGCAATCAATGAATATTTAGATGCATTAATCAATTTTAAAAAATAATATCTAATGGTGAATTAACTAAAAAATATTTTTGATCGCTCTTCATCACATTTCATTTGACCCACTCTAGTTAATCAGAGGTTTAATAGTGGAGTATAAATTAGCTTGACTTATTGTTCACCAACACTTATCTTGAATTTTTATTAGTCAGAAACGAGTAAGTAAAAAATTAACTTATCAAAATCGTTATAAAGCATACACTACAATTCAAATCATCTAAAAGTTATTATAAATAATGATATAAAAGCATGCATAAAATAATAATTAAAACAGGATGATCACTAAACTTTGAATATAAATTTATAATTTCCCAAAACTTTTAATCTACATCATGCACATCTATCTTCTATAATACCTCTAATATTGCTCAATAAAAATGCTATGATATATGCAAAAGTGGTCACTTGTCTATTGCTCAACTTGCTCATTTTTTTTGTGAAATCAAAATTATAGTATTTGATGAGCTCAATGCTCAATGAGATAAATAATTTTAATATAGGTTTTAGACATCCACAAAAGAAATAATAATATGCATGCAAATAAATTACAAATATGAGGATTAATATCCATAATTATAACTAGCTTATTGCAACAATAAGATTAAATGAAATCATATTTTGATACCTAACTAAATAAGTAGAACATAACTATAAGTATTAAATATAATTGTTTGCAAGAAAGAAATACAACTTTTAAGTATCAAATCTTCTATAGCTTCACTAGTCTATTTTTTATGTGAAATTGTTTTTTTTGGTTATTATCTTTCTTAGCCATAGTTTTAGTATCTATGATGTATTATATAATATTTGCATGGAATTTTATAATCATTTAAATTTTTAAGCCATTACCTAGTCTGTTGGCCATAATAACTGCTGATAAAGTTGTTCAGTCTAAACACACCCATAATTTCGGTTGGACCATCCGAACTTTGTTATTAATAGCTGAGAATCTTTTTTGTTTTTTTAACGACTCTCATCTCTTTAAATTTTTATCTTTTTCTATGCAAGTCATCATAGTCTTCTTATCTATCACAAATGATATGATATTTTACCCTTAAAAAAATGATATGATATTTCATTGATTTTTTCTTTTGTGTTTTATTATTTTTATCTACATTTACTTGTTGAGATTTGTTATTAACAATCAATCTATATTAACATGTACCAAGATGATAACATGATATAATATTTAACATTTAATGCTTAAACTATGCTTAATTATACTTAATTTTAACTTAAATTCTATAAAAATGTCGCAAATATATTGTGTGTAGATGGTTATATACAAATAACTAAGCATTGCTAATAACATTAAAGTATGGTCAACTTAATTTAGGCTAAATTGTGTCAACATTAATATTAAGCGTTGTAAATCTTTTTTATTTTTCTTTTGATACTCATGTCTGTAGACTATTATTTTCGCTTATGCTGGTTATCATAATTTGCCAGTCTATTACAAATGATATGATATTTTATTGATTTTTTTGTGTCATATTATTTTTATATACATTTACTTCTTTAACTTGGATATGAACTTATTAACAATCAATCTATACTAACATGTAACAACATTATACTATGGTATTTAATAATTTACATTTAATACTTAAATTATGTTTAATTATACTTAGTCTTAACTTAAATTTTGTCACACCCCAACTGACCCCCTTTTAGGTTCAACCGCGGTGCGACAAAGATGAACAATAAGGTATGACTAAATTCTCACTACTATTCTTCATGACTTGCATAATAATGACCCGATATATGATGGACTAGTCCAACTAAATCATCATAAACGTATATAACTCATATCATTTCATTTCATATTCATATACTTGGAGGTGTTATAAATTATATCACCAAAATATTTATATTTATACAGAGCTGTTAAATCTAACATAATAAAGTACGTACCCCAAAAGTCTGTACAAACTCCCAAACTATATAATGCAACATTGTATACTTCACACCTAATTACTCGTTTTGGTGCTTCTTACATCTTTCTGAAAGTCAACAACATAGAGTAAGCTGCAATAAGCTCCGTAAAATAATCGAGAATAAATAAAGATTTTATAGACAGAGAAGAAACAACATACATGATCATATGCAGCTCATATACATGTCCAGAACACATCACAATATGTTATAATCGCATAAAACATGAAGAAAAGATATTTACTGCATGGAATCATGATTGTTGTATAAAACATGCATTTCATAGGCATGCCATGGT